CCCGGGTCCGTCTGCGGGCGTTTTAATTTATTGTCACTGTCACACGCATCGATCCGCGCGCGCCGAGGCCTGGGGGCGTCCACGCGCAGACCTAACTGATCCTAAAGCCCCCGGTTCCGCTGGGGGGGCTTGGACAGCTATGGAAGAACCAAAACAACGTGAAGAGCATCACGGAGAGACAATGCAGTGTAGCTTTAGTTTAAAAAAAGAAAGAAAGAAAAAATATCCCCCCACTGCATGAAGGATCTGGACGTCATCCAAACTTTCTATTCAAGAGACTGGACCGATTAAGAGCAATCACAAACTGGAATATCGCCTTAAAATTCAAACTGCACGGAGCAAGCTGAAGCTGAGACAAGAGTATATCTTTTAATTGATCTAAAGAGTTGTAAATAAATCGTTCTTGACATATCTAGACAGGGGTTAAAAGGTTTCTTTGAAACATTCGGAACTGTCCGCTCATGCCGTTTCCATGGCTCACCCGTGGCACCCATCCCTGGTGTGAGCAGCGACGTTCCCTGCGTAGCGCAGGGAGAGTTAGAGATCTAGTGAATTCATTGGTATGATGCCATTTGTACTGCCACTTCTGCGATCAAATCATCTTTCTGTACATTTTCAGTAGTAGAGAAAAAAGGTTTTAAAAATTGTATCCTAGGGAACCGTTCGCCGTCAGTCAGAATTCTGCAGTTTAGCTCATAGATCTTAATTGGTTTTCATCTAAAATACGCATTTTTATCATTGAAGGACCACGATTTGTTTAGCCATGATTGGCAACGCTGCAGTTCCTGTATGAAAAGGCTTTCCTATTGTCTCAGGCTAGCAGAGGTAGTAGCTTCTTTGACAGCGATGTTGTATTTCACTTATATTATTGTCTTTTTTAAAAACGCTCTTTCCATGACTTCATTTTCACTTTCATAGAGCAGAGACGAAGTACTTCTCCAATATTTCTCAGATTATGATGAATCCCTGATATTTAAAAAAAATCACTATTATGACCAATTTATTTTCATTAAAGAACATAAATCTTTTTAGCATTCCTTTCTGCTTATCTTTCTTTCCTTATTCTTTCTCCTTGTATCTCCATTTGCTTTGCTTTTTGTTCTGGTGGTGGTTGCCAAATTTTATTTCTTTAGCAAGCTCTAGATGTTTCTGTTTACCTTCATTGATCTATGGTTGATCCCCCAGTAAAATTTTAAGGCTTGCCTTTCTTCCCTGCTGCTATAAAATTTATTCGGGGGGAAAAAAAAAGGTATCCACTGTCGACAAAAGAACCTCCAAACCTATAGAAAAATGTTGTAAGAATTTATTTGAGCCCAATTTTTGAAAAAATACTCAGAAGCAAAGTCTCCATGGATTAAGAGAATCCCATGGAGAGTGGCAGTTTCCCAGTTCTTGTTATTCTTTTAGAATTAAAGGAGAAACAGGAATGTATGGTCCAACCATCCTGTGTGGTTACTTTTGGTCACAGCGCATGTCAGGTCTGCCACCTAGCCCCCTGAGCTTGTCAGGTTCATTACATAGCCCCTTTCCATCCACACCTTGGTACTTATTTGTAGCTACACATATTTAAGAGCTAAATGTCTCTGGGGTTAGTTTGTCTTTAGTATGCCCTGAATGAATGAGGCTTCACTCCGCCCGTTTACCGCCCCTTACAGGAGTTCCAATGCAAATAAGCCTCACCTCCCTGCCCTCGTAGTCAAATAAGAGAAGCGGGGAGATCAGTCCGGCACACAAGGTCACGGGTAATAGCCTCCCTGTGTTGACTCTTTCCCTGTCTATAATTGCTGTGTCCCGAGCACTAGCCATTTAATTTCCATCAGGCTTGGGAGTAGTTCAGTTGTTTGACAAGAGGAAAACATGGTTGAAAGCCTCGAATAAAGAGTTTTGCAGCTTGTAAAAGCAATTTCCAAAAATGGAACCCATCCATCATAAACAAAAGCACAAACACATGTAGCAGTTTACAGTACTTTTGGTTTAATCTCAATTAGTCTTTCTCCCCTGGACTAGAAATCCAGTCTAGTTTGCCATTAATTTATTGAATCTGGTTTCGGACAATGCTTCTGTAGTGTAGCTGCACGTCCCGGTACTGTCCTCTGACATTTATTTTCCACGTGTTACAAAAGGATAAAAGAAATTTTTTTGAGATTACGCTTGCATACACTCTAATTTGCACAGTTCACAGCTACTACTTGTGCAGTAATTGCTTTATGCAGCTGTAATCCATAACCTGTGAAGACAGCACATCATCTAAATCCCATTCCAAATAATATCTCTGTGTAGTGATAGCTGTGAATTTACCCTGTACAGCTGTATCTCTATAAATATAATTCCATGTATTAATAGTCACAGAAAGACTGTAAGTGAGCAACTATTTTTATGAAACGCACCACTATGGATAAATTAACTTTTACAGAAATCTTGTTTACTGTATGATATTCTAAAACACTGTCAAATAAAATATATATCCAAAAATCTTTTCTTTTTCCAACTATATAGGCTGCGTGTTAATTTGAGTAAATACTTACTAGAATTTAATTTTTTTTAAACTGCAGTTTTCACAGATTTTTTTGAAAAGTATATGTTTAATGCCCCAAACAGGACTTCTTTGAAGCTTGAATCTGAATGGAGCAGAATTATAAGGGGTGAAAACTGTTGACTTTTTTTCACCCAAGTAAATGGAGAGTTTTCTTATAGATAATCTGGTGGGTATTTTCCTGTCAGCCAACTGCATCATTTATGGATTGGCAGTATGTTTCTGTTGCTTGCTACATTGATTGATACTGAGCCTTTTTTCAAAAAGTGATTTAAGCTATCAATCAACAATAAATTTCATCACATTTTTTCCTGAAATTTTTTTAGACAAAAATCCCAAGGAGTTTATGCAGAAGCCTAAACTGAAGGTAGTGAACAGCAGTGCAGAGGTCCAAAATGAATGGCCGAGTGTACCTCTTGCCATGTGCTACAATACACGCCTCTGGGAGAAGGGAGAGTTCTCCGTGGTAACAAGATGATGGCTACTCTGTCGTCAAGGAGATTACAATCCAAAGAGACAGCCTCAATCCTAGTCATGTCAAGACTGATGGCAACAGGAGGCCTAAGAGTCCAAAAAATTATTATTTTTCATTCCAATATAATTTTTAAAAAATAAAATGAATCAGATTAGAAAAAGGAAGAAGCTGACATGAAGTGTAAAATTAAGCACAAAAGTTAAGACCTTTGTAATAAAAATATTCTTTATGAACTAATCAGAGAATGACCAAGTGCAAGCTGGAAAAAAAAAATAAAGATTTACAAAACAATGCAGTTAACAAAACGGGGTATAACTATTAATGCACAGCTAATTACTATTCTAAAAGAAAAATCATTAAGACATCAAAAAAGATTACAAATCAAAGGCCAAAGCAATGAGGACGGGGACAGAGCAGGACTAGGGCAAAGGCAAGTGAGGCACCTGGTCAGGGCAAGGGCCTTATCATGAATCAATGTCTCCAAGGTCAGGCAGGAAAATACGAAACAGTGAGGAGAGCCAGGTGGGGACAGGGCCAAGCTGTCATTTTGTCAGGTCCAAGTCTACTGTGGAACCATCTCTCAGTTTCTCAAGAGAAGCAAAAAAAAAGAAAGAAAGAAAACGAAAAAAAAAATCCGTTCTTTATTTGAAATGTTATGGTTTTTAAAGTATGACAAGTTTAATTCACATTTTTAAGAAACACTGAACAAAAAGACAAAACACTAGAACGAACCATCTGCGGCCCAAGTCTGGCCCACAGCCCACCCATTTGCAGCTTCTGTTTTGGAACAATAGCCAGGCTTTCCGCAGAGAAAGCCTCGCTTGCATCAGGCTCTGATTCACCTTCTAAGCCAGTGGTTCTCAACCTGTGGGTCGCGACCCCTTTGGGGGTCGAACGACGCTTTCACAGGGGTCGCCTAAGACCATCGGAAAACACATATATAATTACATATTGTTTTTGTGATTTATCACTATGCTTTAATAATGTTCAATTTGTAACAATGAAAATACATCCTGCATATCAGATATTTACATTACGATTCATAACAATAGCAAAATTACAGTTTTGAAGTAGCAACGAAAATGATTTTGTGGTTGGGGGTCACCACAACATGAGGGACTGTATTAAAGGGTCGCGGCATTAGGGAGGTTGAGAACCACTGCTCTAAGCAGTCGATTTTCCAGACCCTAGAGTCATAAAGCGGTGGCCCTTGAGGTTCACACGTGCCTGGAATAGCTTACAGTGCGTGTTCTGAGTGTGAGGCGCTCCGCCAGAAGCCAACCGCTGCTCCTGCAGTAGCGGTGAATTCGCTGTGAAGCTGAAGAAACTGCAGCTTGCAGGAGCCCTGAAGCTTGTTTTATATTTTATATTCTCTTTCTTAACGAGTCTCCCCCAAACTGTCAGCTTGGGGCTCCCCAAAGGTGAATCTGCCCGTGCCCTGTTGATACTGCTGTGTTTTTTTTAGGCCAAACTCACAGCAAAATCAGATGACCTAACTGCTGAGGAGTTTGGAATTAACAGAGATTTCTTTGTCAGACAACCATAGCGCCAGACAGGATGCCTGTGAAATCACCAGAGTGCTTTCCAAGTCTCAAAATAGTCAGGGTCCCACGTCTAATGGTAAGTTCTGCATCATGTCTAGTTCATTTAAGGCACCAGATAAATGTGTAGAGATTATGATTATAACTAGCTATAGTCATAATAGCTGTAGTTGTAAACATTTGGGTATAAACAAGGGAGCCACATCCTACAATTAAACTGGCCCCTTCTTGGGCATTTGCGGCATATCACCCAGGCAGCTCGGTGACCCGGGGCCCCATGAAAGCCGGAGTCTGTCCCACCACCATGACGGGGGCGGGGGAGCTGGCCACCGCAAAAGAGAGCCGTATCTGTTTTGAAGAGTTTGATGAGATCTTTTCTGATGAAATTGCCTCTTACAGAGTGATTTCACCTGGAAGAAGCTGGGAATCTTTTGAGCAACAGAATAACCTTGACTTTCTTTCTGAGGTGGCAGGCAAATTTTCTAAAACCCTAACAAGTTGGTGCAAAAGGAAATGAACCCCTCTCCCCCTCTGTGATTTTGTCCCAGGTCAGCTGCCTTCACACTGAGAGACAGCCATTCTTGTGGTACCCAGAGACTTTGTAGGGACCACGCAGGCAGGGACAGCCCAACCAGAATCCATTTCTAGAACTATAACTTCCGTTTTTATGCATTTCAAACCTGTGGATGCCAGTTTTCCATTCCCACCTGCCCTATACAAGTACAGTACCCTGGACAGTAGAGAAGAAAGACGGACCTATCACCTGTCCTGCTTTTTACTCTGGTACATCACCTCAAGGTGGAGAAATCTTTAGGGCATTAAGCAAAGAGGCAATTGGAGAAGGTAGCCCTCCTGAGGGAGAATCGAGAGAGCAAAGTAGAGCGCACCAGTAGGAAACATCTAAGTGGGCAATGCCTGCTTCTGTCCAGGAGCGCCGGTAGGGTTCGTAGCTAAGAATTAGCGCCCACATTTATTTGAATTTTAAAATAAAGTAAGATTTTTTTCTGACTCAGTGTGTAATTTGGCTATTTGCCTGGCTATACCAAGTTAGATAGTGTCTTTGCCAGTTAGATTATATGGCAGGTATCCAACAAATTAAATGAGTTAAATGTGCAACTACAAAGTTTAAATAATATATATAAATCATGCATACAAGAGAAAAGACATCCTTTGAAATACTTAAATTTGTGCTACAAATTAGTAGATGTCAAGTTAGCAATGAAACCAGATCCAGAGTTTTATAAAATTATTGTAGGGGCTACGTGAGCTAAACAGAGCACTCACTAGGATAAACCTACTTAACTCCGCTTAATAAAAGTTTAAAGAGAGTGGTGAGTGTCTACTATATACAGCATTACAGGTGAACAGAACACAGCCCCTATTCTCAAGTGGGCTATAAGCTAGTTAGGAGCCTGAGACAACGCAAGAAAGAATGCAGAATGCGGTAAGTGTGACAGAGGAATCGGGATACTGTAGGGAGTGGAAATAGTTGGAGGCAGTTAGAAGTCATCCTGGAGAAGCGGCATCTTAGCAGGGGTTTGCAGGTTGGGTAGGATTTTCGGAGGCAGGGGAGGGATAGGGGAGAGAACAGCAGGAGGAAGGCCAGGGTTAAGGAACTTGGAGGGATGTCAGAGAAACAGTAAATTGTTTCTTTTGACCAAGACTGTATTGGGAGGCGGTGGATTAAACAACGGGTAGATTCAAGCCCATTATAAATGCCGTTAGTGAGCAGTGGAGAGTCATTAAAGGATTCTGAGCAGAGAAAAGATAAAACCAGCACTTGGCTGTGGGAGGAAGTCCTGGCGGTCCCGTCCAGAGTGAAGCGGAGGTGACGAGGCCGGTGCTAACATCAGTCCCGGTGAGAGGTAAGGAGACCTGAGCACCTGGGATGGAGGGGAGAGCAGTGAGGGTTCTCGAGGAGGTCAAACAAGCAGACCTCAGGCTGACGGGAGGCAGAGCCAGGGACAACCACGGCTTCAAGCCTGAGTGGAAAGGAAGAAATGGGAGGAGGACCAGGTCTGCAAAGACCAGATCACTAAGTTTTCTGACGTGGAAAGTGTGAGGGGCTCTCAGGTCTCCCAGATGGAAATATTCATCCAGCCAATAATCATAGACTAAAGACGGAAATGCTCCCAACAGGATGAAGCTCAGGTGAGAAACTGAGTCACTCTAGGATATCCCTTGAGCCCTTCTGGGCCTCACTCCAGAGATTCTGATATCATTGGTTGAGGTGGGACCTTTTGGGAGGAGGAAGGACAGCACAGAAGAACAGCATTAGCATACAAAGGGTGCTTTGTTTCAGAAAGCAGGGATTCTGGAAAAATTTAACTTCTCTCTAAAGTCCAGGTGCCACCGGGAAAGACATGAGCCAATTTATTTTCCCAGTCCTTAACAAGAAATAAAGGTGAGCTGCCGTGGTTCAAACGCAATGGAATAGAGAAATTCACAGACAGACTACTTCAAAACAGACAGTCATGTACACCATCCTCTTCAAATTTTAAAGATTAGCAGAGGTCATAAGATTTAGTGACACACCTTCCAATTATTTCTGTATTATCTGATCATACTGGGAACACCTCGATTCTTGCTTCTTGATCTGGATTTCCAACTCCGAAAAGCACAACTTGCTTTGTGCCTCAAAGCAAGCTAATGGGCTAATGGGAGCAAACGAGTAGCTATAGGATAA